TCAACTCGGACACTTGAAGAAAATAAAAATCGTCTAGCATCGTGACGACAGACAGAAGACATGTTTTATTGTCGATGGTAGACAAGCACGAACAGAATGGCAGTGATATTATACAGGAAGAATCATAGACCGTGCAATCAGCAGCTGCCAACGTGCCAGTGGTTTCAACCTTGAGATAACCCAAACAAGTAGTGGAAAAGTACTGCCTTGTGCATATTGTTAGAATGATGAGTTTAACTTAAACACAGTTGCTTCTAAGTGTCATGAACAAACATTATTCCCTTTCCTTGCTGAGTAAAAGCAGCCACAGCACGACCCGGCCGTCACACTATCTTCTTCCACTTGTTGAATGTGTCCCCCACTTTACTTTCTGCGCTGGCTTTCACATTGCCACTCGTTCATAATAAATAAATGTGATTACAAAAAGTAGTGTCCTTATTTGAGCTGTTTGGGCAGACGTCCATGTCTTGGAAGGTTTGCAGTTGCAGGAGGGTCAGTTGGGCAGTTGGTGTCTAACAAAAAGGATTTGGTGAGGATCCAGGACACTTTAAACATTCTACAACATGTATGGACATTTTTAACATGTGTTCTATATCTTTTTGTGTCTTAACTGTTGATTCTCTGATCTGTGTTGGTGATTTCAATGGTTTTGTCAAGTCCTCTGAGATGATACTGTCGTGATTTAGGGCTATACAAGAATATATTGTATTGTATTGTAGTTGTTTCAAAAATTGATTTAAACTGATTTAAAAATCATCAGGAAACCTCTAAAGTTAGGGATTGTTAGCGGGCAGGGCAGTTGAATACATGTTCGGCAAGCCCCTCTTTGAATAAAAAAAAGAAGAATTAAAAATAAAATGCAAGTTTACGGTGGTCTTAAACAAAACTCTAAACAAAATGTGGAATGGTTCACGGATTCATACTTTTTCAAGCCACTGAATTTATCGATAGTGTTTATGATAATGGACTTTTTTTAAATTAGTCAGCACTTTGAGTTGCCTTGTGAATGAATTGTGCTATACAAATAAACTTGCCTTGCCTTGCCTAAATTCACATTTCAGATAAAGACCTGCAATTCTTGAAAGTCAAGTTTTAGCCATATTTCAACTTCTGTATGTTTGATAACATCTAAAACAAAACATTATTGAATTATTAGACCATCCATTGTGCCTCTCATCTCCTATGGAACAGTATAGCACACTTGGGTACAACGTGTAAAGCTCTACAGCAGAATTCATTAAGAAAATTTAATTGAGTCACTGTGCTGCACCAGGAGTGGATAACCTCTGACTCTGCTAAGACTGAAGTAATGGTCTTTGCAAAGTTAGAACCACTGTTGCCTTAAACTCCACTATTATTTACACTTGACAGCGGAAGTTTACATTCACAATGTAAAAATATGAGTCAAGGTTAGTTTGTTTGTTTCCTGGACTGATGTCAAGGTCACAGAATCAGGACGCTTTATATACAGCAACCTGGCTCCAGATAAAGTTTCAGGGCTCCACCTTTTGTCACCATTTCTGCATTTCTTTTCTCAGTTTTAGGTCAGTTTGAAAATGGAAAGATGACGAGCTCTGTACTCCTATAGAAGCCCGCGGCGTACAGTATAAGAGACAGAAATCTTACTGTATTAAAAAAATTCTATCGCACACTCTTGCTCTCGTCAGATTTGAATGCAATATTTTGGGCTCTCTGACCTCCATCAGGCTTCAATACACGTCAGTTTAAAAAAACGTCTATTTGATATTTTCTATATGAAATATTTCAGAAATAATAGTATTACTAATAAGGCAAAAAGTGGAAATAAGATAGTACTGTTCAAACACAGTTTTATATGTGGTAGAATTACCTTCAAATTCTTGGATAACACTCAGTACTGGTGTAACTGGTGTGAATTTGATATGAAGGCTGCCATGCTCACTTTTTATGGTGCTTTCAACGCAAAGTCAATGGTTACGCACGTTCGAGCGTCGCACTGCATGTGCGTCTCGGGATGCACGTACGGACTGCGCGGTCGAGATGAACGGACTGCACGGCAAAGGCGCGACAGAGTTGCAGGAAATAAATATTGCTGAGCGTTTCCTCGGGACGCTCATGCAGCGACCAATCAGAGAGCTGCAAAGTGGTCATGGGGACATTAGCTGTCTGAGCGAGCAGACAGAACATACTGAACAAACAGCCAAAACAGGAGCTACGCCAGGACTAAACTAGGGTTGACAATGGGGGACATAGTGCTTGTGAACATATGCGTTTTCATGCTCGTTCGAGCGTGTTCGTCGATGCAGAAGTACCGTTTGATAATAAAATAAACTTATTGCGCACCTTCGTGAACACATACTGCTGTTATATAAAGTCTCTGGAAGGTCTCTGGACACAGAGACCCTGCAGAGCTGCATTATTGGAGAAGAACTTTACACAAAAAGCTGCTAGCTTAACTCAGTTTGCATCAAAGTCCGCCAGCTACTCCCGCCACTTCCAGCGGGCACCACCGCAGCAGGACTTCTGGTGTGAAGACCCCTGCGTCTGAAAATTAGAGAATGTGCGTCTGGTGCGCGAGGCGTCAGCGTTCCAGCGTCGCCGGTGTGAAAGCACCTTTAGCCTTTTTAGATCTGCCCTCACATTCTCGTTAGAATTGAAATCAAAGCTTGATGAAAACATTGCCTTGGCTATATTCTTAGTGTCATTTCCCATTTGAAAGACCCTTTTCTACCCAAGCAATATTTCCTCGCTGATTTCTTAGGATTGTTCTTTCCTTTTGACTCCGGTCTCTATTTATGAAGTGCTGAAAAAATGCCCCACAACAGGAGGACAGTGGTAATGATTCAGGACTCTCGACATTCAACAACACTTATGGACATTGGTCATTTGCCCAATTCAGACTCTGATTCAGTTTTTTTTGCCATTTGTAGTGAAACCACTTTAGAATACACATGCAAACGTCTCTCAGTGTGCACCAGACAAGTATATGTACATACAATTAGAGGATTGGCAGAGCGGACGTTTAGCCCCTGCTTGTACTGGACAAGTTTTGCACACGACAGATTCTTAGAAGCCTCAACTACAGTTTCATCTATAGAAGGTCTTTAGATGTTGCTTATACTTGAGGGACATTTTTTGAACGGACGAATGTGACACCTCAATACTTCTTAAATTTAGATGTACTTCAAATCGGTATCCTCATTGGTATCCTCACAAGCTAGTGATGACCGCCTTTCCAGACTTGTGTGAACCGATTGATTAATCAATTCAATCAAATGTATATTGTATATCCCTAAATCACAACATCAGTCATGCGGTTATTGGCAAAGTTATCAATTTGTCATTAACAGTTCAGAGAATCAAACAGTGATTTATGAGCAATGCAAGTTTTAGAGTTTTGATACACGGTTATCAAAGATAAGTGATTATCATTGTCATAGTCATTGTTATTGTTAAAATGTCAGGTATTTCAGATGTTTATATGTTGTCTGCGACTCCCTGATTTACCCCGAAGTGAACCCTTTTTGAGTTTACCAATTGTCTCTATAGTAGAATTGTCAGGGTAAAATGTTAAATAGTTTCTTGTGCTGGTGATGCAAAAAGGACATTATGCTTAGGAGAAGCTTTAACGCTTTTTAACAACCAGTTCCTTCTTAGAATTTTTTATATGTGGTTATTGTTTTTGGCCTTGTAGCTCAGAAGGTACCACACAGCAGCTTGGAGCATGCACTTGCATTAGGAAAAGTAACGTCTAGTCTTACCACCAAAGTGTACTGAGAGAAAAATGATCATTTAGTTGCATTACAAAACAAAGGGAAAATGTGAGGCTGTTGACTTCATGTTTTCCATATTTTGTTATTGTGTATGATGATAATTGTAGACTGTAAACAAGCACATATGGAGTGAAAATATACTATGGAAAATATTTTGAAATATTTGGCGCAATAAGAGTGCCAAATATTTCCAAAAGTGTTTAAAACCACAACAAAATGGAATCATCTAACTAGTTCCTTGCTCTCAAAAGGATTTGATACTTGTTTCCATATGCATTTTTCTTTGGCATGTCACATCCTTTGATCAGCTTTTTCAGACCAAATATTTAAGAAATCAGTTCTAAGCCCAAAGTGTCATATTGTGACTCACACACAACTCACTGTCACATTTCAAGACTCTTTTGTTGGGACAAACAAAATACATTATTTATTGAATTGATGCAAAAAAGTAGTATCTGCAACGCACGGCTGCAAAAAAGGAACAGAGTGGTCTCCAACTAGGACAACTGGGAGGAATTCTGTGGAAAGCAAGATTCTTTTTGGACAGTCCTGGTGAAATTACACAACATTGAAAAGCTGACTGGAAAAAATAGACGTGTGTGGAACAGAGGCAGAATGTCATGTTCAAAATACAAGGATTATTTTTCTCCCTAATAAAATGTGAGAGACAGACAAGGGAAGAGTTGCAGGTTATGTGATAGTGGAGGAAACTGGTGTATCAGTTTAAGGACTTCTGAGGTCTGTTAAGGGCATGCTGGAATTGTCTACTATAGTGAATGTAACACTAGGACTGAATGATTCTTTTATTTCATAAGCAGTATGTAATATATAAGTGAATCAGATTTAGGAATACAATAGTTCTTTGTGGTTTAAGTGTTTGGAGGACAAGGGGAAGTGGAGAGGGGGAGGAAGAGATTAAGGAGAAGGCAGAGTGATCCTCTGACAGAGCAGAGGGAGGAGAGAGCTCACAGCACGCGTGGAGCTGGTGCGCGAGCAAGCCGAGAGAGACAGACACAGGGTGGTGGGTGGAGAGAGGAACAGAAGGAGGGGTGAGGTATTTAAACGCGGAGCAGGACAGCACAAGCGAAGCTCTGAACTCCCCGAGAGTGAAGGTGGGCTCATTTAACACCAGAGCCACTGTGACCCCACACTTTTGGACTTAAGACTTTGTGTGGACTCCATTGCTGTTCTGGGACTCTACCTGCTCTTCCCACTCCCACCTCCTTCAGCCCCGGACTGTGAGGGCAAATGGCACCTCTGAGGGGCACTCTAGGCTGTGCCCTTCTGGCCCTGCTCCTGGGGAGCAGCAGCGTGGACTTGAGTACTTCCCCTGGCAGTTTTTACCCCCGTTTCAACCCGTTCTTCTTCTTGTGCACCCACCACGGGGAGCTGGAGGGAGGTGGGGTGGCAGAGGGTGGAGGAGAGGTACTGCTTTCCCTCCAAATCACAGGCAGTCCCACTGCTTACATTCCGGGACAGGAGTACCAAGGTGAGCCTGCTCTGTAGTGTCTGGTGCATGTCAACAAGTCTGTTTGTACTGACTTTATACACTTTTTGCATTATGGGTTTATTCTTGTACTTGAGAATTCCACACAATCAACAACAGGCCACTATCAGGGAGCATCATTTCCCATTAGAATTGTGTTACGCACAGTTCTCTGTGGAGTTGCTTTGTTTTTGCTGCGTTTATGTAACTGAGAAGTGATGCTGGAGCTTCAGTATTTGACTGTTGTCCTGGTGTAGGAGGCTGCAGGACTCACATTTGGGAGCCCTGGATGAAATTATGAATAAAATAACTAAATAAATATATAGATCCCATGATTTCTTCTACTTTCCCACACTGCTGTTTGAGCACCTGCACAGTCAATCGGCTTTGCTCCGCTCTCAACACTTAACACTGTGAACACTGGCCTCTGTCCAGCGTAGTCCAGGGGTGACATTTCCAGTCTATGTCTTACTTAAGCACAAGACTCTGGTATCGCTCAACAATTAATGCATTTATTCTCCAACACATGGAGATGTTATTTAATTAAATTCTTTGTTACACAAAAATTATTCATTAATATATATTAAAAAAAAATTCATGCATTGAAAATGAAAGCCAGTATCAACCCTTCACTCAAGCACCTTTTTAAGGGCCCTGGCTTGTAAGGGTAGCATGTGTAGAGAGATTATAATAACTAACTGGTGGATGGGAGAGGTTTTGATAATTAGCATTAGAAATGTGGTGTACTGGGAGAAGGAGGAGGGAGGATTTAAAGTGGGCTATGGCTTCGCTGTATGCGGGAGTGAGTAGGGGGAGATTTAGAAGATGAGAGGATTGAGCAGATGAGATACTGGCCGCACGGTAAAACGCCCGGCTGCTCACTTTCTCCATGTTTATCCAAAGCTCATTGTTACAGATCAGGGTTTTAGTCGAGTTTGAGACAGTGACGAGAAATAAACACCTCTAAGCTGATATAGTATTCCGAGTCTCCACAGTATCATTTTACTTTCTCGATTCCCCCATCCTTTCACCGTTATATCCATCCAAAGGCTTTTCCTAATACTTATATTGGCTTTGTATATGATTAGAATTATTCCAGTTATATATATATCTATATATTATTGATTATATAGTTATATATTTTGTTGTGTAAATATATATACAATAACATTATATACAGGAATGTCATTCAAATGTGACTAGTCATAGAAAGATGACCTTTCAGCAGTAAAGAAGTGAGATGGTGGCGCAGCATGATGGAGTTTACATGTTCTCCCTGTGTCTGCGCTGGTTTCCTCCGGGTGCTCTGTTTTTTTCCTGTCCCTAAAAAATGTAAAGTAGTTCAGGGTGAATGAATGTGTGTTTGTGTGAGTGGTTGGACAATGAGCCCAAGGCCACAATCCGGTGTAATACAGCACCTGCTGTTTGATATAAATAAATAAAGGTCACTGTATTGTGACATTAGCCTCAACATGAACTGCCACCAGATTTGTTTTTATCTATTTGTTACAGTATTAATACAACTTGAATAATACCAATTATTGCTTAACAGATTTTACTTGGGATTCAACTTCAACGTTGCATGTGAAGTAGTGGGTGGAAGGTATTCACGTGTTGTAATGAAATACAAAGTGTAAAGATGCAAGGCTGGAAGTCGATCGATTGAAAGTTCATATCAGTATAGAAAATGTTTGACCCTGTAGTTGGTGTTAGTGGTTTTGAGTGCATCACAGGAGGAAAACTCAGCTTGATTTGTTGTACAGTAATTGCGTTTCTGACCCAACCCTGTTGCCTCTTGCTCCTGCTTCTTTTGAATGATAAGGCGCGTGTGGGCAGTGTTGAACTCTGGATTACTGCGTTTTGCTACAAGAGGAAAATGTCCAGAGGAGGCCGTTGGTCTATTAAATGATGGAGAGGTTTGGTGCATCAGATGGGTCAAAGTGGATGAGACGAAAGCTGAGAAATAGCCAAACTGTGAGCTATTGGAAATAATAAGAATGTGATTGCACAGCAGCATTCAACAAGCTCAAACAGACAAATGGGTGCAGCCTTATCTGTTGTAGAAGCAAAAAGCTGAAAGGTCATGACAGGATTTGTCTTCGAAATAAACAAGGCCTGGATGGCTCATACACCATAGAGTTCCTACAGTTTTTTGGGTAACCGCATTAATGTACATTGTTTCTACAGGGAGGACGCTTGATGGAGAGTAAACTAAATAGCAAATGTAATCAATCAATCTAATCACATTATATTGGTGTAGCGCAATTCCTACAAGACAACCCAAAGTGCATGGCATTCCTTACCGTTTCTTATGCTTATAAATAGCAGGTTGTTAGTGTTATGATTAACTCTTGAAAAAATAATTGCCCACAAATGGATGCAGTTTGATAATTCACTTTATCACAGCACTCTTTTGGACCATCAATCGTCACCTACTCCATTCATACGTTGATAAAACAGACACCCAAAGATGTGCCTTTTAACCTCTGACACAAACTTGTGAAGGCATTACTTTGTACTTCTCTCGTACCTGATAAGATTCAACCTAATCTCCTACTTTGTCTACTTTTCTCGTGCGGGTATTTTTTTTTTGGTCTTGTTATCTTTCTAAAACAGCCATCAAACTCTAAAACATTTATAGTGCACTAGGCATCGGTCAGTGAACCAACAAAAGACTGGCCTACTTTCCACACAGACGACGAGTTTGGGGCGCATGCAGAGGACGTAAGAGCCAGACGAGAGCGGAGAAGAGATCGGGGCTAATGGTTTAATAGGCCTCTTCTGTGAGCAAAGCAGAGGCAATATGTGGATGGCACTCGCAGTTTCAAGTGGTCCGAAAGCCATGCATTCATTAGCTTCCTCTCCTGCCTTTTTACCTCCCGCTGCTTTGTCTGAGTAGGTCACTTTGTCGAGTATCAAGTGTATCAGGCTTGTTTGTATGGGCCCTGCGACTGTGTTTGGGTGTTAAGTCTTTGATATTGAATGATGAAGTATTTAGAGAGCATTGGAGAGGATCAAATATGGCCGTTTCCTTTATGTGCAGAAGCAGATGGGCGAGAAATGAGAATAGATATTCATTGGACTTCATCTTTTTGTCACACATGCGTGCTCTTAGCGGGTGATTCATCAATGACATAATGATACTGGCTGAAGTGCGCACATTTCCTCATGCACGGGCGATTAACATGTATTGTTGATGTGGTGCGGTCGCAGGAATAGGCGGGTAAGAGATTATAAGTGCAAGTCATATGCAGTAGACAGAGTTTATGCCTGTGTGAGCTAAATCTGATGCTTTGAGATTTGAGCTGGCACAAAAATCCTACACTCCTGGAAAATTGATTCTCTTTTATCAGAGCATGGAGAATGGCCTCAGATAACGGTGACATTGTTAGCCTTTGCCAGGTTGGTGCCATGACAGTGCCAACATTGTGCCACTTGCAGCTGAAGTAGCTAAAAATGAAGGACCCCTGCCAGACAGAGGCGAGAAAGTGCGCCAGCTTAATTTCAGAATCTGAATCAGATTTGTTTTTTGTTTTTTGTATTGCCATTGTAAGTTTAACGGGAAGTCACAAACTAGGAATTTGGCATATGGTGCTGTGATAAAGTGATAAAAATATGCATAGAGAAATGTTGATTCAATTGGAATATATAAATACACACAACATTGCAGATTATTAATACGTGTCTACAGACATGATATTATAAAATATAGAAGTATAAGGTGACGATGGAGGAGGTGTGTAAAAATGTATTCAAGATAAGTTTAAGGGTATGGAACTAATTTTCTTTTATAAATAACAAATCCTCTCACGACATGCAGTCTTCATCCTATTAGAAACAGCCCACTACATGAGCTGCTCCCCAAGACCAGAGGACAGACTGACACCATTTCAGACTTTCACTGTCACACAAACAGTCTGTACAGCTCACTGCAGTCAGATTGTACAATATACTGTAAATGTGAAAATTTTAATTCTGCATGAATGTATTAAATACCTAAATTTGTTTCTTTTGCATACTATAGAAAGAGCCCTGTGAGTCACTATTTGACACTTTGGGCCGTAGAACTGAGTGTGGGTGGTCCTCTTTTTTTCATGTTTCTTTCTGAAAAAGCTGATCTAAAGATGTGGTTTCAAAGTTAGGCACCCCAACAAGTTTTTACGAAGGTTAATCCAAAAATAAGTTTTTCAGTTTTATTCTACTCCTTGAACATGATTGAACATATCAAGACATAATTAAAGTCAGTATAGCTAAACACATTTGTTTGCTTCTGTTAAAACAGGCCATGTGTTGATGTTGATTTAACATACGATACCGATACTTGCAATTGAATACATCATGGCTTTTCATGTGTCTTCAAATATTTTTCTTTTAGTTTCGGGGCAGTAATAGTGAAGCTTGTTTGGGGTGTTTTCTAAGTTGAGAGAATACACAGGAGACACACCCCCCCCACAGTGCATGGAAAGATTTTATTGGCACAAATTTCCCTAATTTCTGCCTCTGCCTCTTTGAAGTCTATTTCCAACAAACAGACTGCCTGTAAACACAATTAAAACATTTTTCTCTCATTATGGATTGAAATAGCAGGCCCGCTGTGTTTAACATAGAAGCTGAGTCTATTTAAACTTATAACAAGGGTGCAGTGTTGAGCGTCTTGGCCTAAAGCTGTTTAAACTATGTGATGGTCCTTTCTCTCTCATCTCAGTCCTGGACCAGTTCTCATGGTGTGGGTTCCCAGCCTCTGTTGCTGATTGCCGTGTCAGCTTTGCCCATGGCCTCTTCGTTATAGAAAATGGGAGCGTTCTTCATGGATTGTGTTCCTCCTCCTCCTCTTTACACCGGATCCTCGCCCTGGCTCTTGGTTTTGGAGGGTGTAATCCCTGCTGGAGGGGGGCATGTGTCGCTTCTGCTGATAGCATTCAGATGGGTCGTGTAGTGCTCCAGTGGACCCATGACAGAGGCCTGGCTGGTTCTGAAGCCTGGGAACAGTGTGTGTGGCTCAG